GAACAACAACTTGTTTGTATTGTCCTGCAGCCTTAGTGACCCTGTGGTAAACAAACACTACTACTACTACTACAGCACACACACACACACACACACACAAAACTGCCTCCACGCACAACACCTGTAAGTAACATCTTCAAGTGACTGTAAATGTATAATGTGAGGCATAATGTGGTATCTTAATGGTTCTGTGAGCTACCTTAGTCCAGATTCTCATACATACATACATACATACATACATACATACATACATACATACAAAGGACATAATCTTGTAGTTTCGCCGTGAGGGAGACAGGCGGCAACTCACTTTCTTGAATTATTCTAACTTGCTCAAGCTTCCGAGTTTTTAGCCCAGTTAGTTCGCTGCGCAGATGACGATGACTTTTTTACCTCACCGTACCTCGCTCCCTTAAGGACTCTAGCGAGACATTTCCTGATTGTCCCCTCTTAATATGCTGAAGATTCTAAAAAGGTCCGTAGCAACAGAGCCAACATAAGCACTCAACAGCGTTTGACGTTTCCTCCCATCCAGTAATAAAGTATGTATTGAAGCTGATCGTTTCCGCCTTCTGCCTGCACTGGACACACGAGGTTACTTTATTTCTGCTATGTTGGTGTGTGGACCTCCGGCTGTATGACTGTCCGTCTGCTGGCGAAAAGTTTAAGTTACTTAATGAGGTATCGTGTGGCTGAGCAAAAAATACGCCATGGCAGGAGTTCAACAGAAAATCTGCAAAATGGAATATCGAGAGAAAAGTCACGGGCCCTCCCAGATGATCTCGTAAGCTGATGAACGGAGCGTGGTGGTCGCCTTGCTCTGTTGCGGTCATTATTATTGGTTGTTTTGGTGTTGTGCAGCGAATCGAGGAGGCACAGGCCACCACCACAGTCCATAGACGACACCAGTACTTTACCTTGGAGCTCGTATGTTTGTCAACTGTTAATAGGTACAGCTGGGTCTCGCTTTGATCATGAACTCAAGTTTCACAGAAGCAATTTTGGCCAGAGAGCTAACAAAATCTATCATCGTAAGACTAGATGTTTAAAATAAATATTGAATTGTGCAACATCTCGCCTGCTACTAAATGTTATGTATTTTGGAAGCGTCAGACTCAGCTATTTTGTGCGAGGTCTTGCTGTAGCGATGATACTGTCTTGTTTGACATTTTGTTTGGGTAGAGTAGTCAGGTTGACGGGTCCATGGAGGGTTGAGTTATTTGCTGGAGAGTCAACTGAACTATTTGTCAAGGAAAGAAGATAATCAGTGTTAACTAAGAAAAGAATTGGTGCTAGACGGATCCTTGAGGAACCTCGTAAGAGTCCAGATCTACAAATACTTTGAGCTCGGGTAGAAGAGAAGAATTTGGAGAGATAAACGAGGAAATGAACCCAGGTGGAGAATTTTACAAGCTAGGATCGATGTCAAACTGTGTGCTGAATATTTTAAGATGTCAATAGTTATTTTAGTCTATTGATCGGTGGAATGAATGAGTGAGGAATGACGTCAATAGTTTAACACCACCGAGGATAAGAGGAAAATTGGCTCTTGATTATACCGTTACAGGAATCTTTACTAGTGCTGAGGTGAGAAATTGAGAGATTATTTGATTGATTGGACTCATCATCTTCCTTTGAGATTGGATTGATGTTGACATTATTCCATGAAGAGAGGATGACTGAAGTGCTAAGGGAGTGTTAAGAGTTTGGGCAGAACAACAAAAAGCTCTGTAGAGAACTTGGTAAAGAACATGTATAGAGGAATCTCATCCTGGCCTGCTGCTTGGTCAGCTTCTAAGACATTATGACTTCTATTACCGGTTGTTTTAACTTTAACGGCTGGCCCACTCACCCGCTCATCCTCCTGCAGGGGTGAGTGAGTTAGTGGCACAAATTTTGAACGAGGGGATTGATCTTTTCCTGGGAATCCGAGATCACTGAACCATAAGCCTGTGTGACTGTGTGTCTTATGTACGGTTGTTTGCTTTGTTAAAATAATGTACGTACACATGTAACGTATTTGGCGCGCACTTTAATATTTATAAATGTGGACATAATTTCCCATGTAAATATCACTCCGGCACAGGATAACCCAGTCAGTGGGGCATATGAAATTTAATCATTTTAGTTTTACAAATTCTGGGGCGTGGTTGCACGACACGGAGTAACTAGGTTTTCACGTTAACGTCGTATCTTATTTTGAGCGATGTATTTTGGGGTGAATGAAAGACTGTTTACAAATATGGCCGAAGTTAGACTATGGCGTAGACAGAAGCAGTACAATGGGACGTCCTGTATTTAAAATTTGCTTAATATCACACTAACACTCCACAGTAATGGCGGCTTCTACTGCCCCATAATATACTGTGTCTTGTGTTTGTTTACGACTCTAACGTCATCCTTCTTAATACAGTGTTTCATTCTCAAGCCCCCCCCCCAAAAAAAAGATCCACTAACTGGATATATAAGAACGTATTTTAACTGCCTCATGTAAGCAACAACACCAAGAGGGCGGCTAAACTTTACTGAGTCTCTTGCGTAGACTACGTAGTGTGTTCTGCTGTCCCAAGTTAGGTAGAAAAATACTCTGAGACTCCAGGTTCTGGCCTTATTTTTAGAGGAACGTCGACCACCATGTTCGCAAGTGTTCCTGTTACTTTAACTACGCTAATTCTCATTTCAGTTCCTGGAGAGTAGGATAGCGAGGCCGCCTTCACAATACTGTTACTTGCCTCGGCTGTAAATGTGAAGATTTTAGAGATAAATTCTGTGTCAGTTAATAAATATTCTCACTATAGTTATCGCCTTGGTCATAGCGTTTAATACCTTGAAGACGATGCTTCTGTAAGAAATATGTGGTGTGACAATAACTTTTAAATTTACACATTATAAATACACAGGAATATTTAGTCCTCAAAAGAATTACCATCAATTTAATTTTATAACTATAAACTTATGTATTCATACTTTAGGCTTACCAGTGAGAACATATCTTACCAGGTTGGTTGGCGGAGTACACCTGCTGGTCCCAGATACATACAGTACATCATGAAGGCGTGGTAACTTCACCCACCCAAGCAATACTATATCTCTATACTCTACTTAATATCAAACTGGTGGATAATAATTTAGAATACCTCACAGTGTGTTCCCTCCTTGTACACCAGACATGGGGCTCTGTACGTGAGCCTTTTGGGGTGAGCTTAATGATGGTGGAGCGACCATTGTGTGGGTCAATATCCTACTAACTAACCCATTATCTACTGCATCATACATAATTAATGAATCATAAATTAATAGCATTATTACTAAACTAACCTTACATGGCCTAGATTAGATATAGTTTGGTTATCTTGTTTTGCTTCACAATGCATTAAATGAATTTTCCCCATATATTATCTAATTTACGTTAAGTTATCACAAGAAAAACAAAGTTATCTCTGCAGAAAACGTCTCTCTCTCTCTCTCTCTCTCTCTCTCTCTCTCTCTCTCTTTTTTTTTATAGACCAGCGGATATATCCAGTGTGTCCCTGAAAGATCTATGTCGTCACGCTCCTTTGTTACGTAAGCGATGTATTAAACTAGATATAGTGTTATGGTGACGTAAGATCGATGTGCCCCGCCACCCTGAGTGTGATATATTTCAACGCGGTGTGTTAGGTGTGGCTCTTAATTTAGTGTGATATAGTGTGGTTCGTTTTTATTGATATATATATATTTGGCTATATGGTGTGGTCATTTTTTTAAACATAGTGTGGCTGCTTATTATAGATACTTGGCTATATGGTGTGGTTTAAACAAAAAAGATAAGAGAGATGAATAGATAGATAGATACAGTAGATGAATAGATACAGTAGATAGATAGATACAGTAGATAGATAGATACAGTAGATGAATAGATACAGTAGATAGATAGATGGATTGCAGAAACTTTTAGACAGATCCAATTTCCTTAAACAGATGACCTCAAGTTCTGGTATCGATTAATAGACAGATTATGCTCCTGTCAGGCAGTTGGTGAGACAGTAAGTAAACTGTCTGATTAACACATTCAGATTGACAGACACTTATATAACACATGGCTTAATAGACAGACTGACAGATGACAGACTTGTAAAAAATAACACAAGGCGTCAGTTGATAATCATTATAAAGCTGAGTTATTATGATGAAGAGAGAGAGAGAGAGAGAGAGAGAGAAGTAACATACGAGTATATAAGGAACGAGAGAGATTGAAATATAGACAGATAAACAGACATAAAGGACGAGAGGGATTGAGACAGACAGAATCAACCAATCATCCATCACCACACCTGGCACCTCTCACACCTGGCACCTCTCACACCTGGCACCTCTCACACCTGTTATGGAACGAGAGTAATATATCTAGTTAACCCCTCAAGGCAGCTCTCACCACTGAGGTACGGCCCCGTCACCTTTATGTACCACACCTACCTCCTACTGTGTTGCCTATAGTCATACCCTGTATATACCTGTCCTTGTGTGCATAAGTGGAATATTAATTTGAGTTTATATGTTTTTGTTCTTGTGTGTATGACTAGGAGGTGATGTGTTCTGTTATGTTTATCCCTGTTTGAAGGATCTTATAGGGGAATTTAGTGTAGTGTCCTTCCATCCGTCTTTTACCTCAGACATGACCCGATGGATTGTATTGAAGCAACATCAACGCTTTATATCCTCAGGTAGCGATGCACGCCTTGAAAATTTCGGGAACATTTCAAAATGGCCAACTCTTGTCATTCATTCATATCTATACCAAAGTGGGCTGTTACTGTGAACGACGATATCTTAAGGTAACGCCCACACCCTGATGTAGATATATATACCGCTCTCTTGTGATATCACCATTTTCTTGTCTTACGAAATAGTATAGAGGTGGGAGATGGATTCTACTCCCTTTGTGAATGTCAACACATCTGTCTTTCAATATTCTCGCCGTGTTTTCTGCTACAGGTGTTGGTCTTTTATCTTGCGGTCCCCTACCACGGCCGCCCTACCAGGGGACCGCCAACGCCAGTCCAAAGCTCTTATCTAATTCCAACATCATGAGTGACGTAAGTACCCGGGTTTTTTTGTCTCGTTTTGATCCCTGTTAATACCTACCTTGTTATACCTAGTAGTCTACACACCTTATGATTCCTTATAGCTTACGTAGTTACACCTAGGACCTACCGGCCCACCCAGTACTTATCTGGCCACACCTAGTACCTACCTGGTCACCCAGTACCTACCTGGCCACACCCAGTACTTATCTGGCCACACCCAGTACCTTCCTGGCCACACCCAGTACCTACCTGCACACCCAGTACTTATCTGGCCACACCCAGTACCTACCTGTACACACCCAGTACCTACCTGGCCACCCAGTACCTACCTGGCCACACCCAGTACCTACCTGGTCACACCCAGTACCTACCCACAGCCACACCCAGTACCTGCCTGGCCACACCAGTACCTACCTGGCCACACCCAGTACCTACATGGTCCGCACCCAGTACCTCTGGCCACACCCAGTTCTATATGGTCACACCCAGTACCTACCTGGTCACACCCAGTACCTCACCTGGTCACACCCAGTACCTACCTGGCCACACCCAGTACCTACCTGGCCACCCAGTACCCTACCTGGCCACACCCAGTACCTCACCTGGCCACACCCAGTGCCTGCCTGGCCACACCCAGGTACCTACCTGGCCACACCCAGTACCTACCTGGCCACACACCCAGTACCTACCTGGCCACACCCAGATCCTACATGGTCACACCCAGTACCTACCTGGTCACACCCAGTACTTATCTGTGGCCACACCTAGGACCTACTCTTGCCACACTCAGTACTTATCTGGCCACACCCAGTACCTACATGGTCACACCCAGTACCTACCTGGTCACACCCAGTACCCTCCTGGCCACACCCAGTACCTACCTGGCCACACCCAGTACCCTACTGGCACACCAGTGCCTGCCTGGCCACACCAGTACCTACCTGGCCACACCCAGTACCTACATGGTCACACCCAGATGCCTACTTGGTCACACCCAGTACCTACCTGGCACACCCAGTACCTACCTGGTCACACCCAGTACCTACCTGGTCCACACCCAGTACCTACCTGGCCACACCCAGTACCTACCTGGCCACACCCAGTACCTACATGGTCCACCAGTACCTGCATGCCACACCCAGTACCCTACCTGGTCACCCAGTACTTATCTGGTCACACCCAGTACCTACCTGGCCACACCCAGTACCTACCTGGCCACACCCAGTACCTACCTGGCCACACCCAGTACCTACATGGTCACACCCAGTACCTACCTGGCCACACCCAGTACCTACCTGGTCACACCCAGTACCTACCTGGCCACACGTACCTACCTGGTCACACCCGGTACCTACATGGTCACACCCAGTACCTACCTGGTCACACCCAGTACCTACCTGGCCACACCCAGTACCTACCTGGTCATACCCAGTACCTACCTGGCCACCCAGTACCTACCTGGTCATACAGTACCTACCTGGCCACACAATACCTACCTGGCCACACCCAGTACCTACCTGGTCATACCCAGTACCTACCTGGCCACACCCAGTACTTATCTGGTGAAAATAATTCCTCATATTTTGCTGAATATTAATTAAATAATTTTGCATGCTTTTCTCCATAAATGCCCAATAGAGGTATACTGTAGTTTAATATTACAGTTTTTAAATTAATGTATAGTATACAGTATACTTGATATGTTTAATTATAGTTAATGCATCATGTGTACAGTCGATGCTTTCCTCTATATAAAAAATAACAATATTTTTCTATACAGAATATTTATCTTTCAATCCTTTTTTCTTTTTGAGAAATGTGTGTTTTTATGTCTGCTATAAAACCTTTTCTAGTGGAGTTTTATTTTTTTCGTAACTAAAAGAATGCTATTTTATTTTTGTGAGACTGATTCTTTGTTTTCTGTATATATATAGCTCTTGAATCTTGTTTCTTCTATTTTTTGTCACGTAATTAAAAAAAAATTCCTCTTGTTGAATTCATTTGGCTATTTTTACTGAGTGTATAATGAAAACTAGTTCTTAATAAGTGTCTTTTTTTTGCATATTATTGCATCGTTTATTGCAAGTGTTTCATGTTTGTATTTAAACTAGTAACTGCATCTGATCTATATTTTTGCGTATAAATGTATTTAAAAATACTTTTGTCCTCATACACAATATACTCCGCTACTTTGTCCTCATACACAATACTTCGCTTCTTTATATCATACACAATATACTTCCTTCTTTCGTCATATCCACAATATACTCCGCTTCTTTGTCCTCATCCACACAATATCTCCGCTTCTTTGTCCTCCTCTAAACAATATGTCTCCGCTACTTTGTCCTCATACAATATCTCCGCTACTTTGTCTCATACACAATATCTCCCTTCTTTGTCCTGCTCACACAATATACTTCGCTTCTTTGTCCTCATACACAATACTCTCCCGCTACTGTCCTCCTCAACAATATACTCCTTTGCTGTCCTCATACATACTCCTTCTTTGTCCTCACTTGTACACAATATACTCCCTTACTTTGTCCTCATACACAATATACTTATACTTTGCCCTCATACACAATATACTTTGCTTCTTGCCCCTCCTTATACTCCCACTACCTTGTCCTCCTTACACAATATACTCCCTTCTTTGTCCTCATGCACAATATACTCACTACTTTGTCCTCATACACAATATACTCCCTTCTTTGTCCTCATACAACTCCTCCCATACTTTGTCCTCATACACAATGCTCTCCGCCTATTTTGTCCTCATACTAATATACTCCACTACTTTTGTCCTCATACACAATATACTCCATACTTTGTCCTCATACACAATATATCCCTTCACTTTGTCCTCATACTATTATACTCACTACTTTGCCCTCATACCTGTCTCTCCACTTCCTTTGTCCTCATACAATATACTCCCTTCTTGCCCTCCTTCTATGCTCTTTGCTTCTTTGTCCTCCTTGTATACTCCACTTCTTGCCCTCACCCTGTGCTCTCCACTTCTTTGTCCTCACCACAATATACTCCTTTCCACTTTATTCTCCATACACACAATATACTCCACTACTTTGTCCTCCTTACACACAATGCTCTTCCTTCTTGCCCTCATACCCTAATATATGCTACTTTGCCCTCCTTACACAATATACTCCTTTACCTTGTCCTCATACAATATACTCCCTACTTTGTCCTCATCACACAATATACTCCCGTTCACTTTGGTCCTCATACACAATATACTCCACTACTTTGTCCTCATACACAATGCTCTCCGCTTCTTTGTCCTCCTTACAATATACTCCCGCTATTTGTCCCTCATACAATATATCACTACTTTGTCCTCCTTTAATACTCCCTTCTTTGTCCTCCTTCACACAATACTCTCCCTTTACTTTGTCCTCATATGCTCTCCTTCTTTGCCACACAATACTCTCCCTTTACTTTGTCCTCATACACAATATACTCCCTTCTTGTCCTCATACAATATACTCCTTTACTTTGTCCTCACATAAACAATACTCCACTTCTTTGTCACTCATACAATACTCACTACTTTGCTCATACACAATATACTCCCGCTACTTTGTCTCATACACAATATACTCCCACTACTTTGTCTCATACACAATATACTCCCTTGTCCTCATAAACAATATACTCCCGCTACTTTGTCACTCATACACAATATACTCCACTTTACTTGTCACCAGTACAATGTCTCCACTACTTTGTCCTCATAAACCAATGTCTCCGATACTTTACGTCCTCATACACAATATCCTCCCTTCACTTTGTCCTCATACTAATACTCCTCCCACTACTTTGTCCTCATACACAATATACTCCACTTCTTTGTCCTCATACAATATACTCCACTTCTTTGTCCTCATACACAATATACTCCCACTACTTTGTCCTCATAATATACTCCACTTTACTTGTCCTCATACACAATACTCTCCCTTCTTTGTCTCATACACAATATACTCCCTTCTTTGTCCTCACCACATGCTCTCCACTACTTTGTCCTCTATAAACAATATACTCCACTTCTTTGTCCTCATACAATATACTCCCTTTCACTTTATCATACAATATACTCCCGCTACTTTGTCCTCTATACACAATATACTCCACTTCTTTGTCCTCATACACAATATACTCCCTTTACTTTGTCCTCATACATAATATACTCCCTTCTTTGTCATCATACACAATATCTCCACTTCTTTGTCTCATTACACAATATACTCCCTTACTTTGTCCTCATACACAATATACTCCTTCACTTTGTCCTCATACACAATATACTCCACTTCACTTTGTCTCCATACACAATATACTCCTTTACTTTGTCCTCATACACAATATATCACTACTTTGTCCTCATACACAATATACTCCCTTCTTTGTCCTCATAAACAATATACTTCGCTACTTTGTCCTCCTTTAATATACTCCACTTCTGTCCTCATACACAATATACTCCCTTCTTTGTCCTCATAAACAATATACTCCACTACTTTGTCCTCACATACAATATACTCCACTTCTTTGTCCTCGTACACAATATACTCCACTTCTTTGTCTCACAAACAATATACTCACTACTTTGTCCTCATACACAATATACTCCTACTTTGTCCCTCTTACCCAATATCTCCTTCTTTGTCCTCATAAACAATATACTCACTACTTTGTCCTCATACTGAAAATATATACTCCTTCTTTGTCCTCATACACAATACTCCACTACTTTGTCCTCATACACAATATACTCCACTACTTTGTCCTCACTTGCAATATACTCCCATACTTTGTCCTCATACACAATATACTCCTACTTTGTCCTCATAATATACTCCTTCTGTCCTCATACAATATACTCCACTTTGCCCTCATACACAATATACTCACTACTTTGTCCTCATACACAATATACTCCTTCTTTGTCCTCCTTACTGTATACTCCTTCTTTGTCCTCATACACAATATACTCCATTACTTTGTCCTCCTTAAAACCTTAATACTCATGCTGTCCTCATACACAATATACTCCCGCTACTTTATTCATCATACAATATGCTCACTTCTTTGTCCTCCTTACACAATATATACTTCTTTGTCCTCATAACATGCTCACTTCGCTACTTTAATCCTCATACGCAATATATCACTAACTTTCGTCCTCCTTTAATATACTCCACTTTGTCCTCATAAACAATACTCCACTGCTGTCCCTCATACACAATATCTCCTTTCACTTTGTCCTCGTACCTGTCTCTCCCTTCTTTGTCCCTCATTACCTAATGCTCTCCCTTCACTTTGTCCTCATACACAATACTCCTACTTTGTCCTCATATACTCCACTACTTTGTCCTCCTTGTGTCTCCCTTCACTTTGTCCTCATACACAATATACTCCTTACTTGCCCTCATACCTATGCTCTCCCTTCACTTTGTCCTCATACACAATATACTCCCTTTGTCCTCCTTACACAATACTCTCCCTTTCTACTTTGTCCTCATACAATATACTCACTTTGTCCTCATAAACAATATACTCCCTTTACTTTGTCCTCCTTACTAATATACTCCCTTTACTTTGTCCTCATACCTAATATCCTCCGCTACTTGTCCTCATACCTAATGTCCTCCTTCGCATCCTCATAAACAATATACTTCCTTCTTTGTCCTCCTTTAATATACTCCGCTTCGCTTTGTCCTCATACACAATATACTCCACTTCTTTGTCATAAACAATATCTCCACTACTTTGTCCTCATACCTAATATACTCCGCTACTTGTCCTCATTACAATATACTCCACTTCACTTTGTCCTCGTACACAATATACTCCCTTCTTTGTCCTCATACACAATATACTCCACTACTTTGTCATATCATACAATATACTCACTACTTGTCCTCCATACACAATATACTCCACTACTTTGTCCCTCCCTTACACAATATACTCCACTTCTTTGCCCTCATACACAATATACTCCCCTTCTTTGTCCTCACTTACTATGCTCTCCTTTACTTTGTCCTCATACACAATATACTCCTTGCTTTGTCCTCCTTACACAATATACTCCTTCTTTGTCCTCATAAACAATATACTCCCAAGCACGTCCTCATACACAATGCTCTCCGCTAACGCCCTCATAAACATGTCTCCGCTTCTTTGTCCTCATACACAATATACTCCCTTCTTTGTCCTCATAAACAATATACTCCTTTGTCCTCATACCAATATACTCCTTCACTTGTCTCATAAACAACTCCACTACTTTGTCCTCCTTACCTACTCCACTTCCTTGTCCTCACTTGTCTCTCCCATCGCCACAATATACTCCCTACTTGTCCTCACACAATATACTCCCTTCACTTGCCCTCTGCACAATACTCTCCCGCCTACTTTGTCCCTCACCCACAATATACTCCCTTCACTTTGTCCTCATACAATATACTCCCTTCTTTGTCTCCCCACACGTATACTCCCACTACTTTGTCTCATAAATAATATACTCCACTACTTTGTCATCATACACAATATACTCACTTCTTTGTCTCATACTAATATACTCCTTCCTTTTCATACACAATATGCTCCGCTACTTTTTCCTCATACCAATGCTCTCCTTCTCTGTCACCTCATACACAATATACTCCACTACTTTGTCCTCATACCTGTGCTCTCCCTTCTTTGCCCTCACCACACAATATACTCCACACTACTTTGTCCTCATACATATACTCCCTTCTTTGTCCTCCTTTACAATATACTCCTTCTTTGCCCTCATACACAATATACTCCGCTACTTTGTCCTCATACAATATACTCCCTACTTTGTCCTCATACACAATATATCCCTTTACTTTGTCCTCATACACAATATACTCCGCTACTTTGTCCTCATACACAATATACTCCGCTACTTTGTCCTCATACACAATATACTCCGCTACTTTGTCCTCATACACAATATACTCCGCTACTTTGTCCTCATACACAATATACTCCGCTACTTTGCCCTCATACACAATATACTCCGCTACTTTGTCCTCATACACAATATACTTCGCTACTTTGTCCTCATACACAATATACTTCGCTACTTTGTCCTCATACACAATATACTTCGCTACTTTGTCCTCATACACAATATACTTCCTTCTACTTATATTTTTTACATGTGTATTTCTCTGCGTTTTTGGTGTTGCCCAGATTGCTGTTTGATGGAGTATTATAATGATAATGTTGTTACCTCCTCCTCTCCTTCACCACACCACCATAACAACAACTATAACTTACCACATTATCAACCACTATCAACCACTATCAACCACAACCAACCACTATCAACGATAACCAACACCTATCAACGATAACATTAATAACCACGACTTACGATATCATTTACAACAACCATCGTCTACCATATCAACAACCATCATCATATCTACAACAACAACACCAACCATCGTTACCACCAACCATAATAACCACAATTACTAACCATAACAATCATACACCATTATCATCAACCACCACCAACCACACAACCACCACTCTAACTACAACAAAAACCACCACAAAATACCACAACAACAACAACAACCATCACTAACCACAACAACAACCATTACTAACCACCACAACAACAACCATCACTAACCACAACAACAACCATTACTAACCACAACAACAACCATCACTAACCACAACAACAACAACCATCACTAACCACAACAACAACCACCATTACAAACTACAACAGCTACCACAACAACAACAACTACACAAACAGGAGAACACCAAAGACGTGGCTTCCCTGGTCTCCAAGGAAGTAAGTTAAGTCTCCTATGGCCTAGATGTGTTGTTGACCCCTGGATGAACCCCCAAGCTTAGTCACTGTTAAGCTTAGTCACTATAAAGCTTTAACACCAATTTTAGTTAGCTATGTTGAGGTGTGAAACTGTTAACCTTAGACATTTAATTTTAGTTACTGTTAAGCTTGGACACTGTTGAGCTTAAATACTGCTGAGCTTGGTCACTGTTATGTTTAGTCACTGTTAAGCTTAGTTACTGTTAAGTTTAGTTACTGTTAATTTTTTATTACTCATAAGCTGAGTCACTTAAGTTTACATTGCCGTTAAGCTTATTCACTTAAGTTTATTTACCGTTAAGCTTAGTCACTTAAGTTTAGTTACTGTTAAAATTAATCACTGATAAAAGCTTGAGCACTTATAAGCTTGATACTTGAGTGGGGAAAGTCCCTTAAGCTTTCCATATTGCTGTCTTGACACCTTGTGTCTCTTAATAAGCTTTCGGTATTCTTTGAAGTGTTTTTATATCTTACTTCCACAAATAAGCTTAAAGTGTTGCTTGTTAACCTGATTTCTCTAACAAGCTTAAATTGTTGCTTAATATCTTCACCTATTAAGCTTATTGTGTTGCCTGATATATTCTCCATATAAGCTTATTGTGTTGCTTGATATCTTCTAATAAGCTTATTGTGTTGCCTGATATCGTCCCCTAATAAGCTTAAACTGCTCTTAATATCTTGTTTCCCTGACTAAGCTTCGTGTAATCTCCGAGATCCTGCATGACATTTCTTGAAGAACTTTTGACATTTCTTGAAGAACCTCTGTCACTTCTTGTAGAACTTTTGACATTTCTTGAAGAACCTCTGTCACTTCTTGTAGAACTTTTGACATTTCTTGTATAACTTTTGACATTTCTTGAAGAACCTCTGTCACTTCTTGTAGAACTTTTGACATTTCTTGTAGAACTTTTGACATTTCTTGAAGAACCTCTGTCACTTCTCGTAGAACTTTTGACATTTCTTGAAGAACCTCTGTCACTTCTTGTAGAACTTTTGACATTTCTTGAAGAACATCCGTCACTTCTCGTAGAACTTTTGACATTTCTACAACAACCTCTTTGTTTTCTTGTAGTATACAGTTATCCTTCTTATAAGGTCAATTCAAACAGACTTTACACACCCGTTCAACTCCCCTTTGACCATCCTTCTCGTTCACCGTTCCCATGGTCGTCCTCGTGTCATTGACCAAGATAATCGTAGATGGTTCACCTTTTGTTGGACACCGGTTTTTAGTGCAATTTAAGTAAGTCAGAATTGAATCTTTTGATCTACATAAGGTTATGTGGGAGGAGAGTTAGTGTTTGATAAAAAACTTTTGACAGTTTAGAATATTAATTTGTTCTTAAGTTTTTTAATATAGTTAAGGATTAAATTCAAATATCATTCAGTATGCTCTAGAGTCAAGACATTCTTTCATGTATCTTTATTATACAAAACTTCACAGAATTGATAACTTTCTAAACTTACATTAGACTATCTGGAACACAAATAAGTCGTATGATATTAAATAAAAACCCTTAGATTCAACATACTTACGTGTCTAGAAAAAAAAATCAGGTGTTTTTACTTTACTATGCAAACGTTTACAAAAATTAATTACAACTTTCTAAAATTAAATAATATTTTAAAAATATTCTCAAGGCAATACTTTCTAAAATCATATAAAGGATTTCTAGATTAGATAAAACTGCATAAAATTCTATATATGTTTCAAATATTAAAAAAAGGCTTAAATAGACTCAGGGATCCGAAAAACCACGCCACAAATGACCATCAGAATATTAAGTCAGAATTAACTGGACAAAACTAATGTCATAATCACACTCCCTCACCAAGGAAAAATTTACCCCAAATGATGTGAACCATTACTTTCTATTGCCAGTTTAGCATATTATGTTAAGACGATTACACAACGTCTCTTAAGTGCACTTCATCTAGTATGTAATATTGTACTGTAGATACATAACTTACAAACGTATATTTCATCAGCTACTTTAGGTTGAGATTGCAGTGCAGGTTAAGGGGGGAAAATGTTATACGCGGTCACTGTTTAGGGGAATCATGTTTGGGTTTTTAGTTTATTTATTTATTTGTAATCTGAGTCCACTAAACTAATACACCTATACATTTATTATTATTATTATTATTAGTAGTAGTAGTAGTAGTAGTAGCAGTAGTAGTAGTAGTAGTAGTAGTAGCAGTAGTAATAGTAGCATTAATCATGTAAGCTCTTCTGACATGTTTTTCCCGACTTAAAATACATCACATTTACCAACGGTGCATCATGACGCACAGTAATCATTCATATAAAGGTACACAACAACTCCATTCACTCTATGTCCTCAGGTTACTTACTGGTTCTTGTGTTCCACCATGCGCAGCTCACGGTAACTTCTTGTCTGGCCTTGGCTGGTGTGATTCTGTTGTTGTGTGAGAATAATATCCCAGAGGTGCGTCCTGGCGGTAGTTACAACGGTTCTCATGGTTGTACTCACATATACACATCACGTTTATGTCCTTTGGATTACATAATAAATAAATTAGGAGTTCAGTTAATTCCCTTGAATGCTTCTTGAGGGAATTAAGATGTAAATATATTAAAGTTCTGCAAAATATAAACTTTCCCGCAAAAGTTTTAAATTCCATCAGAATTATTTACATAACTTAACGCCGAGTGTATGTAACTTGATAAAGTTGAATATGCTAGACTATATATCGTGGCACACCTCAACATCCTGGCTATAAAAATCATAAGAAGCTCCACCGAGATACTGGGAGGAGGACAGGTGTTCGGCCTAGAGTCAGATGTGTCCTCAGTACCTCGGTCACACGGCCACGGCGGCAACTGACAGCCAGAGCGTGAAATTTCATCATATCTCGCCAACTCGGTTAAAGATATAATATAAATTTTACCTCCGAATTCTTGTTATTTATGTGACAGTCTTATAGCTGCACAGTGAATGAGACAACCAACACACTAAGTTGCAGCTTATTCTGCCTCCGCGTAAATCTTGGTATGAGTTTAACATGATAATTTTTCTCCGTGTGTGTGATCACCGTGACCGTTGCAGCTTATTCTGCCTCCGCGTAAATCTTGGTATGAGTTTAACATGATAATTTTTCTCCGTGTGTGTGATCACCGTGACTGGCTAATTCTTCCAGAGTAACGAGTGTCCAATTTAACTTGATGGGGATGTGCAGGATAACAGTTGTCTCTGAGATCTTAGACCAATAGGCTCTTGCTGGTAGTGTTTACAAGGAAGCTGCTGTATAATGACGCGCTCACCCGGATCCCTCTTACCTAATTTGCATATTATTCTCCAAACACTCGAGATTGCAGGAGTTGTATATCACTTTTGTTATATCCAGGTAAGACTTACAGTATAACACGGTTTCTTTGTATTAGCGCTGCGGTTTTGTATTTTACTTGGTTAAAATTAAAACGTACTGTATATTGCGTAAAACACAACAGCCAATCCAGTCAATCAGTTAATTATACCAGTTAAGTTAACCCAGTTAGTGTTGTGTTAACAGTGTTTATTAGCTGACACAGAAGTGACATGTTATTGTTATTTAAGTGTATATGTGAAGAATATATATATATATATATATATATATATATATATATATATATATATATATATATATATATATATATATATATATATATATATAAAAGCATGTCCTGACTGTATAAACGTAGCTTTAAGCATGTCCTGACTGTATAAACGTAGCTATAAGCATGTCCTGACTGTATATACGTGGCTATAAGCATGTCCTGACTGTATAAACGTAGCTATAAGCATGTCCTGACTGTATATACGTGGCTATAAGCATGTCCTGACTGTATATACGTAGCTTTAAGCATGCTCACCTCTATGTGCCTGTATCATATAGCCTATGACTAACTGGAGATCTCGCTGTACTGTCTCTAGTTTACGTCTCACGTAATGGAGTTACTTTAATCCTCATCTGGACTCGTTTACTTGTACTTAAACCTCTCCATAAACTACCTAATCCTGTTGAGCCTTACAAGCACGCTGTTGCTGTACTCATTGTAATCATGTGCGTTTTCTCTTGACTTGTGTCCTGCTAACATGTGTACGTGCCTCCGCCTGATGCCATGTGCCCTCTACCACATCATCAACAACACACTCTGACTCACTAGTCTGGCCTGGGAGACACTCAGAGTGACCAGGACTCCAAGGATGTAAGTCTCTGTGTCGTGTGAAGATACAATAATACAACACTTGAGTTTTATGTATCTTTCCTGCACAAAAACTTGAAGTAAATAAAATGATATACGGGCGTACAGGTAGACTCCCACCAGTAACTGTGTTGTATTTACTATACATTTAACGTATTCTAACTCTGAGAAACACAAATAACATGTCCTAATATAACTTAGCCCATGTAAACAGAACTTCACCCAACCCAACTAAAATAACCTGAAATTATGCAAATTATCTAACTTAACCTTAAACCAGATGGTGAGGGACTCTACATATATGTCGATATCTGTGTTCATTATACCCGTGGGTGTGTCTAAAGTAAGCTGGTTATGAAGTGAATATATAATGATTTTACTCGTCTTTGTGTGGTCTTAGAAATTATTCGCACATGGGACTAAAAACTCTTCCTGATTGGTCGCCGTCATCCTCACTCTTGGGTCACTTAACGATACCAGTCTTGTGTTTTATATCGGTGTGTTTGTGTACATAACGAGTGGTGGCTGATGCACCGTGTTTCTTGCATCCGACTGATAATTTTTTGCAAATATCTTAATTATGTTAATAATTATTATTTTTTTACAGGCTTATGGTTAATTAACTAGCTAATCTGAGGCATATAACTTGTTAATTTGCAATCTAATCCTCCAATGCAATCAAACTCACAAATGGGTTTATAGTATGAAAACTACGAGTGTTTGTGAGGGGTGAGGACAGCTGTGGAGGACACCTGACGTAGTGGTGTCAGGACAGGTGCGCACGGTTAGTGTTCCGCTAATTGGTCGAGAATAAGAGGAACTCAACACGATACGAAAGAGTCTCAGTAAAATTTCGAGGACTTTTTTTTGTCATGCCTTAAGTCAGTCAGTCAGTGATAGGTTTACCCTCATCATCCTCTCATAATACACAAATAAAACTTGAAAATACTGTCAAGATTCTCAGTGTGACTCACCTCACGGACACCACAGTGATGACAGGCTAAAATGGCGTCGAAATTGTACTGAGACTACTGTTACTAAATACATTCTCTTAACCTTGACGGGAAAATTTATCTATGCTGTTTTTTTATAATCCCGACTACAGTATTTCGTAATTAATTTGTCTAATTAATCCTGAAATAATTGATTAGATACAGGTACCCGTGAATTAATTTATACATTTTGTTTATTAAGTTACACTACAAGTATATATATTTATGTTTTTAAATAATGAACTGATTTACTAAAACGTTTTAGTTAAGAAGACGCGGAAATTAAAGTAAAATTTGTTCGTTCATTCATTCGTGTTTTTAATTCGGAAACACCCATCCAGGCATAATAACAAGTACAGCTACAGAAGCTACAGGCAGGAACAATGATAGTTACAAAACAGTGGTACAGGTACATAAAAAATAGTACAGTTAAAGGCGGCTTAGAGCTGCCACAGTCTCCAACAGACATCTTCAAGGATCCACAGATGTCTCGTGTGTGTGTGTGTGTGTGTGTGTGTGTGGGCGGGCGGGCGGGCGTCTTTGATGGTGAAGTGTTTGTCGAGAGACGCACAAAGCCTGTGGAGTTTTATGGGAGTTCTGGGATAAATATTTTCCCTTTCCAGAAACCTTACCGAGAGAATCGCCACCATCATATGTTACGACTCACACAAAAATGAAAAAAAAAACTATTCTCAAACGATTCAATAAGATTTAAATTTTGTTGTTGTTTCTATACATGATTTGAAAAAATGAAGTGAAATTGGCTCCCGCACAGTAAGCATGATTGCCCATTAGTGACAGTATGGATACAGCACACTATATAGGGTGTCCCTGTCTCCCTGCCTCCCTCTCTCCCTGCCTGCTCCCTGGAACACTGTGAGTTGGAGGGAGAGAGGAACATTTTTCTGGGACACGCTATATAAGCCTACAGATGCAAGGAGGCAGCGTGGCCGGCATAGCCCTCACTGCCTTCACACACCCGTAAACTTAGGTAGTACCCATTCACAGCTGGGTGGACTAAGACTACCACGGAATCGAACCAACGACTTTAGAACAGGGGACGATTGCTATATCCAATCGACCGCCGCACTCCAGTAGCGAAAAGTAATTAAGTAATTGTGTGTGTGATGTATGTAACAGCTGTACCCAAGACTGCCTGATGAGTATAATGACAAAATGATGTTAATAATACAAATAGGTCGAGACACCGATGGTACAAAGAAAACGTGATGCTGGCTCACCTTAAAATGAAACATCCCAGTTTAATTCACCAGAAGTTTAACTACCCTAACCTTACCTGGGGTTGGATTAGGTTATATTAGGTTAGGATAGGTTAAGTTTGGCTAGGATAGGTTCGGGTAAATTAAGTTAGGTTATTTTAGGTAAAGGTAAGTTAGGGTGCCTTAAATTTGGTTATGGTTGACTTAGGGTTAAAGTGGTTAATCCTCCGGTCATCTGTTATATCTTTATGTAGATTAAAACCCACAACACAAATACTTGACGAGACAGTTTCCTGAAGACGTACTGTACTGTACTGTACCGTCTACAACTGTCTAGTATAAGACAATATCCCACCAGCTGAAGATTAACGACTGGTGGTACGATTTGCTCCCTTCTGTAGTGTCTGGTGATTTTAATTTGTATGAAACTAGTGTGATGGGATTTTTTGAGGTAGGATTTTGATCGTGTTCGTGTCTTCATCAGCCGTCGGCACCGTGACAGTCATCCTGGCGAGGTATATCTGACTTTTAAATTATATGACGCTTGCTAACTGGTGAGTGCTGCGGCCAATCAACACCCCGTTACCATGGCAACCGAACGTATGACGCTTGTTGATTGGTGGTGGTGGTGGCTGCCAATCGGTAGCGCGTCACCATGGCATCCAGCCGTGACCTGTGACCGCCTGGGGTGTGTGAGGTGTAGATGAAGTTATTTAAAACACCATCACGAGATACGAGCATGTTGATGAACGCCCCCAGGTAACATGGACATAATTCTCCTGTATTTTGATATGTGGTATCATAGTTACGTTACGTTTTGGTGTTAAAGGGGTGGCGTTATCGACCTGTTTTTGTTTTTAGTAAATGCTCTAAGTTGATTAATTTCTCTTAGAATGAAAAATACGGAAAGTTTTCTCTTTTAAATTACAGTCAGTGTAATTGAGAAGCCATTAACATCATATATCTGTTTATGATCACCTGTAGAATAGACCTCAGCTTATTTCACCTCAAGATTAACCACTCTAACCTAACCTAACCATACCATTATTAATTTACCCCCCCCACCCCCCCTCCAGATAGCGTTAGAGTGTTTAATCATCAGGAGAAATACGCTTGGGTGGTGTAATCTTCAGGTGATCCTCTATTTATGCATTTCTGTCAGCTTGAGGGCAGTACTGACGTCATCTAGTCGTCCCGTCACCTGCTCGCTACACCTGTTGGGGGTAAAGGCTCACCTGTAATTTAGTTCCCATAGCTTATATCACCTGAGTGGATTAGATTAGATTATATTCGTTTAGATTTGCCTTAGGTTAAGTTAGTTATGTTCGATAAGATTGGGTTAGGTTAGGTTAGATTAGGTTAGGTTAGGCTAGGTTAGGTTAGAATTCGGGTGACTGGTGCTACTATAGTGTGCGGTCTACAACATATTTAGGTTAGATTAAGTCAGGTTAGATTAGCACAGGTTGGTTAAGGTTAGATTAGGTCAGGTTACGTTAAGTTAAGTTCGGTTAAGTTTGGTTAGGTTAAGTTAGGTTACATGGTAGGATTTGGTCCAATGGAATTTCGTGTGTTTATATCTGGGTATTGATCGTCGTGGTAAAGGAAATTGGTCATTGTTTTTAGCCTCAGTAAATAACTAGAGCAAAAGTCCCGACGGAAACAGAGAATTAAACGTGAAATGGAACGAGAGAATGACGGAGGAATGAAAGAGAGAGACGGGAAAAAAATTGAGTAGACAGGGGAGAGAGAGAGAGACAGAGATTGGAAGGAAAGCCAATTTAGCAGAATCATTCAGAGGAGAGAGAGAGAGAGAGAGAGGGAGAGAGAGAGAGAACACAAGAAAATAACAACTAAAAAGAAGATAATGGCAGAAGAGAGATAAACAGAGGGAGACAAAGTTAGTTCTCTTTTCACATTTATACGTAAGTCAGTCAACTGTTGAGCCACACGCACAAATTTCTTCAGTTGTATAAATGTGTCTCAGTATCTCTGTATATCTACGTTTATTCATACTTTTGTCTACCCAAATGTGTATTACCTGTTGAAGTATGAAAATTTATATGTCAATGTATATCAATATGTGGGTGTGTATGCGTGGATATATGTGTGTGTATGTGGATATATGTGTGTGTATGTGGATATATGTGTGTGAATGTCTGTTTAAATACATAAACTGTATACTTGAAGCTACCACCAGACCAGTACTCTCGTCAGGTCTCAGTACAATACTCCGCCATTTCATACTTTCACAACCTTTAATAAAACCTGAGAAGCACTACTTGTAGGGAGGAAGCAGTGTGAGGCCTGGCACTCTGGGTGATGTAACTGGCGCAGTCTATCTAAGTTGACACCGTTTTTGGCACTGGGTTAAGCCGGGCTTACCCTCAATACCTCGGGATGAAAAAGTTACAGTTTTCAGATTATTCAACCGTGAAACAATCGCTGGAAAACCCGGAAGTAATGTTGAGGGTCCGTGTGTTGTGTCTACATAGTGTATGTTAAGATGCCATTGTTTATGTTGCTGTAACTACACTGTAACCCCTGTACCCGAATCTCTACCTCATACTATACTGTAAGTGCTTCTTGTTTGTACCTGTACTCAAACCAGTACTTGTTGATACATTACTAACACTGTAACGAGAAAAAAATGAATTTGTTACTAAAGAGTTACTAGCCTACCTGTACCTCATCCTGTACCCAACACTTGATCAACTAGAGGACTATAACACAGGAAATTGAGAAATGTAATAAGATATCTAAGGTCTGACTTTTCATTTGTTGTGACTCGAATGGGCGAGCATCACCAGAGGCAGAGGGCGGGTTAGTGTTAGTTAGAGAAATGAGGATGAGAAATCTCTATCCCCCCTTTCATCTCTCCCTCAGTTTACCTTCCACACTCCCTCCCAACCCCTCCTCCTTTCACTCCCTCCCTCCCTCCCTCCCTCCCATCCCTCCCTTTCCAACTTCCGATTAAACCTTAACTAACACGTGTCTCTGGGTCGAGCAGATCATGATCGACCGGTCGACCTTGGAGGAGTACCTCAAGATCGAGAGGGAGATCGCGGAGGAGGAGTCGAACAACCCCATCCAACCCCTCGAGCTGAAGACCGACCAGATGGTAAGGCTGACCGAAGAGATAGACAGGATGGAGGAGGACCTTCAGGACCTTGAGAGAAAGACGTGAGTGAGAGACCTTTGTTGTTGTTGACAGTTAATGATAATAGAGGTAGTAGTGGTAGTATTATTAACAGTGGTAATAATAGTAGTGATATTAGTAGCTTTAATAGTAGAAGCAATAGTAGTAGTAGTAGTAGTGTTTCTCTCATTGTATCATTTTTGTTCTTACTATTATTATTAGTAGTGGAATCGTCTTTTTTGTGGGGGTGGATTATTTTTTTATTTTATCCTTTCTCTTCTCTTTCTTAGTCTTCTGGTTATTATAATTCTCTTTCTTTATTTATATTGACTTTTTATCTTTTTTTTTTTATTGGCGTAAAGTAACCTCAATTATCCCGGGTGATTTAGATCATTAGTTAGTGGTCATAACTCCATGTTTAACCTGTACCTGATCATATTTTTGTGTGTTTTGTTAATCTTTTTAATCTATCTTGTAGTGACATTTATTAACCCCTTTGATGAGCTTAATTACTTTTCCTGTGTGGGCGTCATGTCAGTGTTTTTTTTTATGAGGCAGATGTGGATATTAAGTCTTTATACGTCTACCCTGTGCCACCGTTAACACTATCTTTGGGAAATGGAACAGTTCAGCCTTCGGGGAGAAAACGGTGGATTCGGTGGAGACGCGGAAGTTCTTCATTGAAAACGGGATACAGGAGAACCCGCTAACAGATGAACAGGAGAAGTACCTGGACTCAGCCAACAAGAAGGTAGAGATATCGCCTGGAGTCGAGTTGTAGGAGTACCCGCTTGGTGTTGTAGGAGTACCCGCTTGGTGTTGTAGGAGTACCCGCTTGGTGTTGTAGGAGTACCCGCTTGGTTTTGTAGTACCCGCTTGGTGTTGGGTGGGTACCTTGGTTTGTGTAGATACTTAGCTTAGTTTGGTCAGCTAAGAGGGCTAGAAATAAGGTGTACCAACGTACAATGGTGATATATTGTACCTGTGTAAACACCTTCATCCAGCACTTGCCCTCAGACTACACGGTATGTAAGGCTATGCTTAAAGCCTCAGTATATCACCACAGCTTACAGAGTCTATCACAGCTTCACACAGCTACAGTTAAATCCAACTCTCAGGGCATTTTTAGTATACAAAGTGGTGAGCTATTTAAACCTTCAGACTCTCTTGCCTGCCCCACCACACACAGAAGGTTCACCACTTTTCCACACACACAGTATCAGATGAACCCCTCAACCTCACCGTTGAGATAGTCGATTCATATACTGTAAATCATCAGTTTTTAAGGTTTTTGAAACACACGATAAAAGTGTTTTTATGACTGTTTATCATATTTTAAGTCGATGTAAACACTGGGAGTCCTTAGTTTATTTGACCTAATCATTATTGGAAAGTTCGTAAAGAATGCCCTGACCCCATCTTGCCCGCCTCGCTTCTTGCGGTCGCTCAGTATGACAGTAGAACGATCCCACCTTGTCTCTCCCCCAACCACCCCGCCCCTCCACGTACACAAACACTTCACATGGAAAAGTATCTGTATCTTCATGTTTTACATAACTATGGCAGTTTTACGTCCTCGTGATATAGTGAAGACTTTAGTGACGTGAGGAGATGGCTTTGGCTTCCCGAGCATATTACACTATGTCTCTAACTTGGGTCTGTCATTCAAAGAGTCTTAATATCTTTTCATTCCCATAATCATTATTTTAAGAACATAAAGAAGCCGTTTATGATGGCGTCATATTTACAATTCGCCTCTAACAGCTTTCTTATCTTAGTGATCATTACCACGACTGACTTTGTCTCGTAAGCCGAGTTCCGCTGATAAGGTTTAAGGTGATGTTTGGGAGTGTTGTCACATCTTCAAGTCCTATATGTTCACCTGGCCACGTGGGACATCACCTAGGTTTTGTGCTAGATTGTTGGTTGGTGGTGTGTGAATGACTACACAAATACCTGTATGGACACCTAGATCATCACCTGGACTGGACACCTAATTAGATCACTTGGGCAGCTAGATCATCACCTGAACACCCAGATGGTCATCTAACCACCTGGATGTCTTGGAAAAACAATTGTTCATACATTTCCCGCCGCACGTCAAGTCTGTCCTGTCCAGAAAATACAAAGATCTGTTTACGGAGAACTGCAGTGAGAGAAGCTGTCCTTTCACTGACGGGTTTGTGATATTCTGACACACGCTTTGGACGTAAAATGTGTCTAAAATAAAGTTCCTGAACAATGACAACACCAGGAAAATGGGACGGGATTGCCTTGGATGAGAAAATGGGACTCATCTTGTATTAGTGATGTTTTATGTTCACGTATAGCAAAAATTTATATGATAATGTGCCTCCAAACCCTGCTTCGGGGAAGAAGGACCTATGGTGGTGGAGGAGCAACTGGAGCTTCATAGTGGCCTCTTGATCACTGTTGCCAGACAGATTATATGGTTACAGATTACATTATAGTCACAATGCACCAAGTTTACTTGACAAGACTATTCAAAGTGGCAGGAAATTTGTTAATGTCCAGTGGCTTGTACAGTACTGCAATCCTGTAAGTAAGTCTACTATTTTTGTAATTTATTTGTAATCAAATTGTAAACAAATTAAGACGACTTTTGAGGCGAATAATGGTTACAGTTACGACCACAAACTATAGATGAAGCTAGATTACGATTACAAGTGTAAAAAATGTTGGATTGTGGTTAGATTACGAATACATGGATATGAATTATTTTGATTACAATTACGATTATGAATACACCGTAATCGTAATCAGTTGCGATTACGAAATTACGGTATGATGATAATGAACCCCACATCTGGCTCACACACACTGAACATCCTCTCCAAGATATTTGGTGTATGTTGCCTCTAGCCAGTATTGTGTTGTGTTGCCGATGACACAGACACTGCGGGAGGATAAATGAACAAGCAAAACAACATGATATATTAATCCAACAACCTCTGGCAAAAAACAAGTTCAATTATCACTAGAACACTGTTGTCTCTGCAGCTCAGTCACGTGAAGGGAACCGACGGCTAAACGAGACGGTGGTCCTACAGGGAGTAATGACCCTAAACGAAAGAAAACAAGGCTTACTGCTCAAGACGACCACCTCATAGCACAGTGCAAGAGACAACAAAATTGGCTGAATTATTGAACTCGTCTGATTTCTTGGTGTGATGTATTTCTTTAACAAGTTTGGTTAAAAGCCATTGTATTTTTGCGAGTGTTGACAACCCCAAGACGCACAGACACACGAAGGGAAGTATATGCATTTTCAAGTGAGGATCCCAGCGATTGTCTCTCTCTCTCTCTCTCTCTCTCTCTCTCTCTCTCTCTCTCTCTCTCTCTCTCTCGTGTCTCTCTCTCTCTCTCGTCTCTCTCTCTGTGTTCTCTCTCTGTCTCTCTCTCTCTCTCTCTCTCTCTCTCTCTCAGTGCGCCCGTAGAAGCAGTACTCAACACCACCTTCCCTCCAACACTCAGAGAGAAAGAGAAGGCGGACGTGGACCATTTGGCCTCGTCGGACAATGAGATCAAGGCTGCCCTGCTGGAGATGGAGACCTTCGACGACCAGATGGCCAAGGAGAAGGCCGAGTACGTGGCCGCCCTCAACAAACAGGTGGAGTAGCTCCTCCAGTCGAGTGCTTCTGAGTTTGATTGGACTTGTTCTTACGTGAGGGTTGTTCCTTGAGTGGGTTTGTCCTTTCCTGACTTAAATACTGAACGTCAACTAACTGGTGGAGTTGTTACTTCAAGTGAAGTACTTGGCTCCAAGGTTATTTGTTTTATCTTGTTCCTTGAATGTTTACAACTTGTGTTAATTGGATTTGTTGTTGTTTGTCTTTGAGTGATTTTGTTCCTCTGTGTTGAGTACAGCATCTGTTTAATTCCTCAAGCAAGTGGAGTAGCTCCTCCAGATAAGTGATTTGCAAGTTACATCTCCTCTTTGTTATGTCCTGTGTGATGTTTTTTTCCGTGAGTAGTTGTTTATTCACGAGATTTGTTCCCCTGAATGAATTTTCTTCCCTGGGTGGCAATGTTCTGATAATCGATTTCTTCCGTGAGTTGTACTTTTCTTCCTTATGTGTAGCTGTACTTAAGGAATAAGTTGTGAACACAAAAAATCTCAAACTGTAAACACATTTCTTGGACTCCTTTTACTCTTTCCTCTTTTTGCAAATATATTCCACCTAGTTTTAACACTTTTGATCTGTGACTCCCTGCATCATGGTGTCGATGTGTTCATGCCCACCAGTCAGTCGTTCAGGAAACCTTCTGGTCATAACTCCTCACATGGACTGAATACTGGATTATGTTGAGTGATCTAAACACAAGGCGGAATATTTTCTGTGGTCGACCTCTAGGACAAACCAGGAGACGTCAAAATCACACAGTAAATCGATAGTAACCTTTCCAATAGAACTCATTGATGATTCACTCTCCCACACCACCACCTAATTAACCAAAATCAAAACCTGTGATGTTAAAAAAAAAAAAAAAAAAATACGTTTTAGCTGTAATAAATATACATCCTTAACTTTATGGTATCTGGAGCACCTCAATATCAAGTAGTGGTGTTCCCGATCTGTAACACATGTGAGTGAACCTTTTCCTCGGGCCTGAGAGTCATAGTTCTTCCTGATAACAAAGATAACAGCTTTAGAGAGATAACACCACCAGGAGTCTCCGTCTTTTCAAGTGTAATAATTCATCTTGAAGTATTAGACTTTTTTTTAATGTTAGTTTCCGTCCTCAATGTTTATGTTCAATGACCATACACGAGTAGGTCATTCACACTCGTGTAAATTTAATTGAAACACAACCATTAGACTGTCATAAACGATACACAGATTGAAATGCGAGTAAAGAACAGCACTTACGGGAATTACACTTGGCATTGTGATATAAACCTTGTGAAGCGACGTCAACAACCTTCCTGGGTCCAGATTCTCTTACGATAAATATTCCTCGTAAGTGAAAATTGAAGAAAATACTTGACTGGTTGAAGTTCAATTACAAATAGCACTCATAAATGGCATCAAAATTACACTGAGACTCTACCTTAACCAAATACATTAACTCTGTGCCATTAAGAGACAACATTTAGAAAGAAAACACCTTAATTTTGTCTGCTACTGAGTGAACATATCTGATCAAGGTAGAGTTTTAGTGTATTTTTGATGCTTAACCTAACCTAACCTAACCTAACCTAACCAAACCAAATTTCAACCAGTCAGAAACATTCTTACATCTTCACTTGCGAGGAATATTTATCGTAAGAGTTTGTGTGAGAATCTGGTCCCTAAACTATCCTGCTGCTGGCATGACAGGAATCATTACATCAACGGCGAAATTACTACTTTAATTACAGGTGTTACGCGTTGATTATACACGAACTGCTCTGAGGGCAAAGGTTCTGTCCGTCAGGAACTGCATTCATAGAGCTTTCAGGCGCAGCGAAATATTTGTATAATATCGCATATACAGTTTCTGGTGGCGGACTTAGGAAGCGATGAACAACACTAAGAAACACATGATTAGCGGCAACACTAACACACTCTTTCGGCAAAACAAAAGTGCAAGAATCACAGCCATGGAAGAAGCTCAGAACACAAATACAACACATTTACCTCTTCCAGAAACACAAGCTGCAACACCCACATCTCCTCAGAAACACATCAAAACGAGGAAGCGGGTTGATCCTGAAGCAAAATACCACTACAAGAACGCCTCAGTGACGTCAACCGTTCTTGTATATAGCTACAGATTATGAACACACACACACACCCGCCCTTGTTTCTTGTAGGTGAAAGAAGACGTAACTTGACGGTATATTCTCACTGTTATGATATTATTTGTGGAGGTTGGACAAGATCGCGTAAGTCTCGGAAATCAAGGTTTATGTCATATATAGACAGACAGAGGACGGAAACATTTTATGATTAATGTAAAACCTGATGTAAATGCAAAAACATGATGGTTCTCCGGACTCTTAGCTGGACTTTTGATACTTAAGAATTCAGTTAGACATTTGGACTCATGGTTTTTGGACTCAATTTTAGGTTAATATATCGTCTTGGTAGTGTACACGCTTAAAGACCTTAGTTGTTGGAGCTCAGTGATAACATTATAACGTCAACTCCTACATGGTGTCATTTTTAACACTGGATTACAGATGATAAAGAACTTTTACCATGTCAAGAGTTACTGGCGATATGGAATCACCGTTGGAATGGCTATAATAAATTTATTTCGAAATAAAAGTTGAAAATTCTAAAGTTTCAAGAAAATATATTGTAGTTAATACGTTTTGAATTAATGAAGCGACAATAAAAACCGTATTAAAAGCTGAAATAACATTCCTTTTATAGTGATAGCTTCCATTCTCACGTCATGTGCGTTTTGATGACGACACAAGATGGCGTCTCAATACGACTGACTGTACAGTAACGCAGAAATCTAATTTAGGGAACCATACAAAACCTCAGGTCAGAGTTAGGTAGTGCCCCTCTGTTGAAGTCCAGTACATACGCGTAGGTCCTGAAGATCAAGACCTATTTTACGAAAAGAATTCACCATGCATCACCACGTATTACTCCCCACGTGTACCAACCCCACATGAAGGTATACCAGCCATTGCTATACACTTGCATGACCAGACACACACACACAGACACACACACCTACACACACACACACACACACACACGCACGCCTGTTCAACTCACATAACAATTCATTAAATCTTTCACAACTATTTTTAACACCTGCAATAGCACCTTCACGCATGTCTTGAAATAAATGGCTTTTATATCTACCTGTGTGTGTGTGTGATGACAGGTATGGTGTTTTCCTCACCTGTGACTCATGTGATTAATTACAAGGTATTATTTTACCTGAAAAATTTATCTAATTAATTAAAACACCTGAATACTTGTATATGGAATGTTTGTCTGTGTTTGTACTGTACCTTAACGTTTCTGAGTTGGAACGTCTTGTAACGTCCTGAAGTCAAGGTGTGTCTAGCAGTATTGTATTCGCTATTGTGACGTCACTAATACTCGGTCGCTGACGTCATTGTTGATTACTATCTAACGTCATCAAGGCTGTGAAAATTTCCAGCTAACTAATCAGTTTCTTTTTGTTCTTCTCTGACATTTACTCACATATACTGTACAGTAGGTCGTGTGGCTTAACTTTCCAGGTAGTGAAAGATCTCATTAAGGTGATCATGTAGGTCACCTGCGTACTTATTGTATCAGTAATGGTAATAAAAAAATTAGGAATGGTTAGGAAAACATTTATCAATCAATTAATTCATAAAAAATAAGTTTATTTTCGTCTTTTGTCCTACGAATTAAAGTTTACATTGTGTTTCATACGAGACTGGTACATAATCCACAGACACTTCTCAGTACAGTATCTGCCATCTACGTAAGGATCAAAATACTAAAGAGGAGTTGAGATTTTAACTTCTATTGACTCAAATTTTCGAGGCAATATAGAGTGATCTTTCATGATATAATGACATAATTTATAATGAATGACAGCGTTCCAGCAGTCATAAACCACTCGCAAATAGATACCAGATATTGTCAAGTGTTCGGGGAATTTGGGCCACAACTGTACACAAAAAATAATACCTCACGTGATTAAACAAGTAACCTGATACAACAATAATTTTTTTTTTTAGAAGTACTTTGGATATTTTTACTAATTAGTCTGTTATTATTGGTGTATTTTCATTAGTTAGACTTTTATTAATTATTCCTTATTCTCTCTCCCATCAACTAACTGTCCTTCTACGCCTTTTCATCTTCTCTATCTCCATTTTATTCTCGTTGCTTCTTGCCTCCTTCCTCACCCTCTCCCTCCCTCCTTCCTCACTCTCTCCCTCCCTCCTTCCTTCTCCCTCACTCTCTTCCTGCCTCCTTCCTCACTCTCTCCCTCCCTCCTTCCTTCTCCCTCACTCTCTCCTTCCTGCGGCCTCCTCTTTCCCCCTACTTTCTTCCCCACTCCTTCATCTACCTCCTTCTTCTCCCCTCTCCATTCCCTCCTTCCCTCTGCTTTCTTCCCCAATCCCTTCTCCCCCTTCCCCCTGCCCCCTACCCTCCCCGTGTTCTCCTGGGTTGGCCGTGTAGGAGATCGCAGCACAAGAATTGGAGACCCACAAGAAACAGAGAGAACAGATCTCCCAGGAGGTGGCTGAACTGGAGACCCGCGCCAACCATCTCCACGATTTGTACAAACGCCATGACAGTCTCCTAGGTGAGTACATGTGTGTCTGAGATGAGTACATGTGTGTCCTAGGTGAGTACATGTGTGTCTGAGATGAGTACATGTGTGTCCTAGGTGAGTACATGTGCGTCCTAGCTCCCTCCACTCACCCCACTTTATCTCTTCAGGTCCCCCCACTCACTCCCCACTCTATCTCTCCAGGTCCCTCCACTCACCCCACTCTATCTCTCCAGGTCCCCCACTCACCCCTAATTCTCTATCTCTTCAGGTCCCTCCACTCACCCCACTCTATCTCTCCAGGTCCCTCTCCACTCACCCCACTTCATCTCTCCAGGTCCCTCCACTCACCCCACTCTATCTCTCCAGGTCCCTCCACTCACCCCACCTCTATCTCTCCAGGTCCCTCCACTCACCCCACTCTATCTCTCTCCACGTCCCCCACTCACCCCACTCTATCTCTCCAGGTCCCTCCACTCACCCCACTCTATCTCTCCAGGTCCCTCCACTCACCCCACTCTATCTCTCCAGGTCCCTCCACTCACCCCACTCTATCTCTCCACGTCCCCCCACTCACCCCACTCTATCTCTCCAGGTCCCTCCACCCTACCTACCGTATCTCACCAATTCCCTCCACTCAGTGCGTTTTATCTCTAATTCATCTCTCCACCCCCTCGTATTGTCCCGCTGTCTCGCTCAGTCTCTCTCCTGATCCCCTGGGAGAGAGATGCGACGCGCGACAAGAAAGGAACCAATCTCACGTTGTCAGTTTAGCGAGCCCGGGGTCCTCCCTAACATTTTAACATTGATAAGTTTTGCTTTTTTGGTGGCATTGGTGATTCTTCTTTTTTAACATTGGTGATTCTTCTTTTTTAACATTGGTGAATCTTTTTTTTTTTTTAACATTGGTGATTCTTTTTTTATTTTAACATTGATTTTTTTTTTATTTTAACATTGGTGATTTTTTTTAATTTAACATTGGTGAATCTTTTATTTTAAATTGGTGAATCTTTTTTATTTTAACATTGATGATTTTTTTATTTTAACATTGATGAATCTTTTTTTATTTTAACATTGGTGAATCTTTTTTATTTTAACATTGGTGACTTTTTTTATTTTAACATTGATATTTGTTGTTGTTTTTAACGTTATAATATATATTTTTTTGAGGAACATTATTATTTTATTTTAATATTTATGTTACTCGTTTCTTACTCTTGTTTACATTTGAACCTTTATCAATGTTATTTGGTTATTTTTTTTGCTCTATTACAAATGTATTTATTATTAAACATTGCTACCAATTTTTATTTGAGTCCGTTGTACATAAGAATAGATTAATTTTGATAGAACAACTATTTTTGTTTATTACAAATCTAGTATTTTATCATTGGTATCTCGTTAATTTCTCCTGGTTTTTTTTTCAAGTACATTTATATTTGTAGATATTTCAGCATCACTACCTTGTTATTTTCTGTTTCTTTCAACATTTTTAACAAAATTATTATCTTTTCTTTCCGTTTGTTTACTTTTTATCTGTGTTTCATCATGTGTGAACTTTAGCACTGGTATATTTTATTTACTATTTATTTATATTTCATTAAATTAAACACTGACGCCTGTTTACTGTACTACTGTATAATGTTCGTACCAGCCACAGTGAGCCTGTTCCTTCCTTCCCCCAGGGTGTACCACGGTGTATTGTACTGTATAATATACATTGTTTAGTATCTCCTGCTACAACCACCAGTGTAATTCTCAGTTGTATTATATTGTGTGTGTGTGTGTGTGTGTGTGTGTGTGTGTGTGTGTGTGTGTGTGTGTTTATACCAACTTGGACACACAAGATAGTACCAAAGGGGGTGTTAATGTGCATGGGGGTGGGGTACCAGATGAAATATTTTTATGATGAAAAACTGTGTTAAAAGTGTTCAGTATTCATGGCGTGTATATAAACAACATTCACTGGGGTGTACAGTTTGTGGATCAACTCTTTTTTTTTTTTACAATATTCAGGTAGTTGCTTTGAACCTTTCCACTGCTGTTGCGGGTATGAAGGCCACATATGCTGTATATAATATCATGGAGGTAAACATGAATAGTATTAAGTAAAGACCTTTGAGTTTACAGCTGTGTGTATCTTAATCTATAACTACTATTTTATCCCCAGATCTTAGTAGATGTTGTGTTGAGGTCAGTATCGATAATTAATCAGTATTGTACATCTTTATTTCCCAACGATGTGGTCCATGTTTCCACTCCTGAATCTTGGTGGGGAAACATAACATTGGTGATTATGTGGTTATTGCCTATGTTTAGTTAGTTAGTACCCACATTCTCTCTCTCTCGTGTGACTTAACTCCTCCGGTGATCAATTTTTGCTCAACCTATCTTCATAATCCTACAAAATACTTTAAATACCCTGTCTTTTAGATCTTAATAGCACTCTGGGTCGTGGGAACAGTGTGGGCAGAATTTACACACTGAGAGATACGAAAACCAGCTAAATCATGATAGTATACTGCGACGCACATTATGGTACACTAGGGGGGTGTTAATATATGTGTGTGTGTGTGTGTGTGTGTGTGTGTGTGTGTGTGTGTGTGTGTGTGTGTGTGTGTGTGTGTGTGTGTGTGTGTTGTATACCAGCTGAGACACACATCATGGTACTCAAGTGGGTTAATATCTCTGTACTGTTTATTTTCATTTCTCTTTATCATTCCTGTTATTCTTCCTTACTCTTAAGATGTCATTATCTGTTTTATTTATGTCTATGTCTTTCTTTGTATAATTATCGCTATTTATTGGTCTTCAGTATAGCTGTCATATCTCTTCTTCTGTCTCTTTATCTTTCCCTTGTTTACTCCTTTCTGTGACCACCTTTACTATTCTATATCTTCCTCTCTCCGTCACTCTCCTCATTCCCATTCTTTTCTCCTCTGTCTATTCCCCCTTTTAATACACATTGTCTCCATTTCCCCCCCTCCTCTCATTTCTCCCTCACCATACTTAACTCTTTATTGAGCGACTGTTTGGAGGGGAAGAGAACAACAGTTGTCTGGAGGGAATTGATGGTGATCTATCCCTCTTCTTCCATCCTCTCACCTCCCTCCCTGTATTCTACCTTTACGCCCCTCCAATACCCTCCTCCTTCCCTCACTACACCTCCCTCCCACAGACCGCCTGTTTGGAGGGGAGTATGGGTCGGTGGCGGAACTGTTGGAGGCGGAACTGGATGAATTGGAGGCCCACCGTGGGAGGATCATGGAGGCTAACTTCAAGTGGAGGCAGGCACAGATGATGCTTGAGTACGCCTGCAAGCAACTGGCAGTCGCCGTCCAGAAGTGGCAGGACCTCCCAACCATACCAACCATGTGAGTACACCAGTAGTGTTGTGGTAGACGGTTCTCCTGTGTCAACTCTTTGAGGACGATGACTGTCACCCTCGTGGGGTTGAACCATCATTGTCAATTTGTTAGACTTTCGCCATTAAAGGGGTAAGTCTTCAAAAGGTTAATTAATTATATGAATCAATAAATAGTTCTGTAGGTTTATCTGCTATATCATGATTACCGTATGAGTAGTCATAGCTATTGCGTCTTGTACCACTACACCACAACCACCATCACCTTACCCTCACTGGCTTATCACTAACACTAAACTGTTTACACTACACTGTCATATCCACACCACCACAACCACGCCACCACATCATCACAACCACCTCACCACCACACACCAACACCACCTCACCACCACACACCATCACCACCACACACCATCACCACCACAACCAACACCACCTCACCACCACACACCAACACCACCTCACCACCACACACCAATATCACCTCACCACCACACACCAACACACCTCACCACCACACACCATCACCACCACACACCATCACCACCACACACCAACACCACCTCACCACCACACACCATCACCACCACACACCATCACCACCACACACCAACACCACCTCACCACCACACACCAACACCACCTCACCACCACACACCAATACCACCTCACCACCACACACCAACACCACCTCACCCCATCACCACACACACCTACATGTATGTTACCAAACACCATTTTTGAAGGGCTTCCATTATATACCTTAAGTTCTTTCCGTAAACGAACGCCACCGCTGGGTAGGTGAGCTAACGCCCTAGGTTTGTCATTGCGAAGTGAAGGGAACGCCATACGCTGTTGATTGCCCGTGCTGGTAGTCTTTGTATAGAAGGATTAAAAAATAAGTTAACACGCTTCCTCTGGCAGATGGTGATGTAAACATTAACTCGGGCACTGAGAGCCTTAGTCAGGGGGCTGCTCTTTACCCTCTCTGGGTGTGTCCTCGGTAGATACCTTGACTTAGGGACGACCTAAATAGATTTACTATAGTTACCTAAGGATGTCCTGAATTAAAATAAATTTAAAAGAATCTAGTCATACCCAAATTGTGTACTGTACCACCAATACTATATTATATTGTCTATTAATCAAAATAAGCTTGAAAGCGAAGTCATTTCCCTACAGTAATGAACAATACGATCCCCTGTAACAAAAAAAGTTGGTAATTTCATTACTGTCACAGTTGAAAGTCCAATAAATTGTAACGGCAATATTTTTTATCCCTTGGCTGCTTTGTCCTGGATTCTCGAAGGCTCACACGTTATGTTATATCGTGATTGAAATATATAGATAATTACCTTTGAGTGTGTATAAGATAGCTCTTACAGATTATCAAGGTGCATATATGTCAAGTGTAAACCTTATAGTTCTTTCCTTTGTCCAGTTATACCGTTATCATAATTACCTGTCGTGTTATGTCGTTGACCTTTGACCTCTTGACTCACAAAACACAAATGCACTAAGGATTTGTTGTAATGAATATATACTGTATATTAGGTGTGAATGTTGGGAGCAGAGGAAGCTTTTGAGGGCCCAAGCTTCTATGACCTTAGGATTGACGAGCTTAACGCTACTCTACCCTACCCTACTCCTACCCCACCTACCCTACTCCTACCCTACCCTACCCTACCCAACCCCTTATCCTCCCTTACCTTACCCCATCCCTACCCTATACCCTACTCCTACCCTACCCAACCCAACCCTATCCTACCCTACTCCTACCCTACCCAACCCAACCCTATCCTACCTACCTTACTCCCCTACCCCTACCTCCTACTCCTTACCCTACTCCCTACCCTACCCCTCCCTACCCTACTCTACCCTAAGCATTAGGTGAAATAAGCGAAGGGGATGGGGGACGGCTAAACTTGACGTAAACCAACTATCGTAGTGTGAGTGATTATCGCTTACACATACTAGAACGATCCTCAGCCGGTGTTATCATCTTACAGTGTTCACCTTAAGGCATTACTCCAGAAGAATGATATGGGTGGATTGGTGGTGTGTGTGTGTGTGTGTGTGTGTGTGTGTGTGTGTGTGTGTGTGTGTGTGTGTGTGTGTGTGTGTGTGTGTGTGTGTGTGTGTGTGTGTGTGTGTGTGTGTGTGTGTGTGTGTGTGTGTGTGTGTGTGTGTGTGTGTGTGTGTGTGTGTGTGTGTGTGTGTGTGTGTGTGTGTGTGTGTGTGTGTGTGTGTGTGTGTGTTTTGATTTATTGAATATTAAGTTGGTCTTCAAATACACTCTTTTGCTTATATGATTAATCTGCTGCGTCTGGTCACTGAGAAATAACCTGTGACGTCAGCCAATTATAACCCTGCTTTAAAAAGTGTCCTCAAAAGCATCCAATAGAAAGAGACGTAACATTTCTTTTATTTACTTAAAGAATTAACAGATGAAGTTACCTTGTTAACCATAATAACCTTCCCTAGATATTACGTCACCACCATTAAGGACACTAACTCGCCTGGTCTAAAAGTCACCCAGTCATACCCTCTTGTCTTGATGCTCCCCGAATAAAAAAAACTATGGAAATATATTAATAGATATGGGGAAATATATCGGTCTTTCATTCTCCTCCCTCCTTACACGAAAATATATCATGTATAAGGAAATAATGTGAAAACTACAAGAATAGATAAATAGAAGTCAAATAAATGAATTAAGAATTAATAGTAAATTTTTTTAATTACCTCTAAAAGGCTGAAAGCTCTCGATTGACTTGATATATAGCATTAATATTTATAACAACAATAAAGTTAATGGTATTTCGCACGAGCTAAAGTTATATAGTCAAACTTTTAATAAGTGTATGTACCAGAGGATTCATTTTGATATTACGCTTTCAGTAAAAACAAGAACACCATATAATACTCTACCTCTCAGTCTGTTTACTTTGTGTAGTATATAATCCTCTACACACAGATGCTACACTTATTTTATATCGGTATTGTCTTTGTTGTTTTTTGCTTTCTTTGTTTTTCGCATAAATTTCAATTCCCACATTTAATAACCACTAAAGGAATATTTAAATACAGCTTACAGTAACTCTACTTAAACCCCGTATTGACACTGTGCGAGCTTTTATTTCGGTTTCAAGTCTTTTATTTACTTGAGTCTCCTGCCTCTCCATTAGCTGCATCGAGTAAGAAGTCGGTAACGTCACAGAGGTTTGAGATTAGTGACTTTTGTTGAGTTTGTTTTTGTGAGTTATAAAAGCGATTTAAACAAAGCAACTTCGTGTGTGAGTTATTATAGTTTTGGGCTTGAAGAGCTGCAACATGCCAAGAACATTACAATGCCCACATCTAGTATTCGCATGTCATTTGTGGAGTGGTAGCTGAGGTTAGTGGAGTGGCTGGCTGTTCGTGATTGATAACCGACTAAACGGAAATGAAAACAGAGAATTCGGTAGGGTGCGTGCTGACAGTATTCTAAACACGAAAAATACAACAAATGTATTACTTTACACGACCTGATGTATAACGCTTTCCGTTATGGTAAATGTTTTTAAAATTGAATTAAGAGTTTGGTAAAATACAGGGTCAGCCAAAAACAATACCCAGGTGTCAAATGGTGCTATGCTGTATTTACTGCATATATGTGTATTACAATTTGGTCGTTTTTCGGTGACCCTGTATAACTGTGGATATATATTTTTAAAAGATCATAGAGGTTGTTGGTGTGGTTAAACATCAAGATTATTAACGGAACGAGATACTTTGTAGGTTTTTCCATTTATTCATGTTCACTACTGTTATATTTTCTCTTGTTACTCACACACACACACACACACACACACACACACACACACACACACACACACACACACACAAATAAAACGAAAGAAAAAAACTAAAAAGAGCAAGAGAGAGAGAACGCGAGAACAAACAAGGTTCGTATTCATGTAAGCTAGCTGTCAACAAGTTATATTTACTTCTCTGAAAGCAAAGAAAATATCACTTACCTTGTCCTGAGATATAGGGTATTACTATTTATTGAACCAGTTTCAATATTCCGTTTTAAGTTTTAATATCGCGTTTTAAGAATTTATTTTAATTTTCTAGTATTTTATTCAGTTATTTTTTTAACATTTTGTTTTACTGTTCCATTTTAATCTGTCTTGACATTACACCTTGCCATTCCGTTTTAAGAACTTTCAAGTTTCTATCGTTAGCGAGAGAATAAAGGTAATATATCATTATCTATTTATCAAACTTAGACATTATTTTAATTACTGCATAAAATAATAAGTTGTGAAAAGTTGAAAGTCATTAATATGATATACTTTTATATATAGCGAGGTATAACCAAGTATACTAATAATATAGGGGTTATTATTAGTTAGGTGTATATAATGAAATGTTGATCAAAGCTGTGTAAGAGAGAGCATATATAATTCACATTGACATTCCTTTAACTAATGAGATTAACACCAGTACTGTACTACTATAACGGTACAGTAAAACTCTATTAAGCGGACTGAGAGGGAAGTCCGTTAGATGTGAAACCTCCATGTAATGAATTATATAGAGAGGAAAGTCCGTTATATCGAGGGTCCGTTAGATGTGAAACCTCCATGTAATGAATTATATAGAGAGGAAAGTCCGTTATATCGAGGGTCCGTTAGATGTGAAACCTCCATGTAATGAATTATATAGAGAGGAAAGTCCGTTATATCGAGGGCCCGTTAGATGCGAAACCTCCATGTAATGAATTATATAGAGAGGAAAGTCCGTTATATCGAGGGCCCGTTAGATGCGAAACCTCCATGTAATGAATTATATAGAGAGGAAAGTCCGTTATATCGAGGGTCCGTTAAATGTGAAACCTCCATCTAACGGATAATATGGAGAGAGAAGTCCGTTATATGGTTTCATTGTCTTCTATATAAAAAAAATCGTATATACTTCATAACGACTTAATATAAAGAATATATCCTGGTTCGTTTACAC